ATTAAAGAAGATTTCTTCTTCTGTAATCATTATTCATTGTAAAAGAAGATTCTTCTGTCATTGTTATTCATTGTCCAACGTTGAGATAGATAGAAAGCAATTAAAAATACTATGGCTAGGATCAAGATACCTTAGGCTTTATACTGACATCCTCGCTCTTGAGCACTTTTTTATAGTTTGAAGAGGTCTCGAGTTGCAGATTTTCCCAATGCAACATGTCTTTCGATTTCTTTGCTCTTCCTGCCATGAGTGTTGATTGTGGACCCAGGTAAAGTAGAATCTTTGTTAACTTCAGTCTTAATCTATCATGATTTTGCCTGTAGATCCATTGGTGAAAATTTTTGTTTCCTTGAAGTTGGGATGTAATCCTTATTTGAGGCAGTAGCAGTCTTTTATGTAGCACATGTTTCATGTCTTCTTCAGTTCTACAAGCAGGTTTGTCATTTGCATAATGTAGATTGTTGATGAGTCGTCTTGCAATTCAGATGGCACATTCTTCTTCATCACCTCTGGTTTCTTGAATGACTTTCTCAGCATATAGATTGACTAAGTATGGAGAAAGAACCCTGATGCACATCATTCCTGACTTTAAACCATGTAGTGTTCCCTTAATAGCAACAACATAGAGCTCTGTTAACCTAGTGGGCAGAAAGTGATGCTACCAAACCAAAGGTGTGTGATTTTAATCTGTGGCCCTCAGGCCTTGTTTTAATTGCTTTTGGTCAGACATTCTTCCTAAGTAGTATAGCACTGGTCTGTCCATTTTCTGTAGTGAAGTAACTTGTGGTTACTGTGGTGCTAAATACTGTGACACTAATGTTTCAAAGGCGATAATGGTTACCTGCAGTGGACAGTGTTTGGTGGAGCTCCCCAATTAAAACAAGCTTGGAAGCAGGAGTGGTATCCACTTCCGAAATTGCTTGCCTCCGGAAACTCTGTGAACTTGGAGAATAGGATCACTATGAATCATCTACGACTCAATGGCACTTATCAACAACAGTGTTCCCTTGTTCTGTTTGAGCAGTTCCTTCTTGGTCTGTGGATAGGTTTCACATGCACACAATTAAATGTCTGAGATTCTTAATCTTTACAATGTTAGCCATAATTTGTTATGATCCACATAGACAAATGCCTTTGTACTGCCAATAAAACACAAACATGTTCCTGGTCTTCTCTGCTTTCAGCCAAGTTCCTTTGACATCAGTAGTGATATTCCTTTTGATATAGCCTCTTCTGAATTAATTTTTCATTTCAAGCAGTTGCCTGTTAATGTACTGTTCCAGTTATTGTTTTAGTTGTTTTGATTTGGTTGGGTATTTTAATTTTTTTAATATTCTTCAGGACAACTACTGTATAAAACCTTATTGTAGAATGAGTATGAAGTAAAAGTAGAGGGATGAGAATGGTGGGGTGGGGTGTTAATCATGTTGTTGTTGTTGTTGTTG